TGCTAAGTCTCGCAGTTGGATGTAGCGGAAAGAGTCAGCTGAGGTCAGGGCCTCGGCATTAGGTAATTCAGGATACTTGACGATCTTTCCCTGTCGATATAAGTGTTGGAGTCTGGAGATGTCTCTCTGATCGAATGCAGCAAAGTGTTTGGCTGTCATGCCCGGCGGGAAAATTTTATTCCGGTATATCGGTGTCACCGGTGAGAGAAAGGAGGATAGGTCGTATTTGGGGTTGTGCTTGTCCCAGAGGGCTATTGCATGCATGATTGCTGGAGAGGTAGGAGCCTGTACTTCGGTGGTACCCACATGTATGAAGACGGGAGTTCCCACCCCATGACATCGTGCTCCAGATCCACCCATCTTTTGGTGCCTGGTGGTAGGTGCCAGTGCTGGATGTGAGCCAATTGGACTGCTTGATAGTATTGTTGTAAGTTGGGGAGCCCCAGGCCACCCGTGAGCTTGGTAACATACATCGTTGATCTGCGGATTCTAGGTTTCCGAGATTTCCAGACGAATCTGTCTATGGCAGATTGCAGGTGTCTAAAGTCCTGCCGCTGAATTGGGATTAGGAGTGTTTGGAAAAGATAAAGGAACCTCGGTAGCAGATTCATTTTAATTGTGGCCACTCTGCCCAGCCATGACACACCTAGTTTATCCCATCTTTGTAGGTCTTGGTGCGCCGTCGTGAGCAAGGGTTTGTAGTTTATGTCATAGAAGTACCCCATGTTGGTGGTTAGATTAATGCCCAGGTACGTGAGGGAGGTGGGGGTGATGCGGAATGGGAATAGTGGTTTCAAGGGGGCGAATTGAGTGGGGGTCATTGCTACCGGCATCAAGGTGGATTTTGCCAGGTTAATTTTGTATCCTGAAAAGGTGGAATATTCTGCTATGAGGGCTACTAGGGTGAGAAGGACAGCGTCCGCGTAGGCCGCTACTGTGTAGGTCTCCCTCCGTATCCGGATTCCCTGGATACACGGGTGAACGCTGATAGCCTGTAATAGCGACTCCAGAGAGATCGCAAACAGGAGGGGGGAGAGGGGGCAGCCCTGTCTGGTCCCATTCGCAATAGCAAACGTCCGTGCGACAGTGTTCAGTAGCAGAAGTTGTCCCGTTGGGTGGTCACAAATTGCGGTGAGAATATTAAGGAATCCGTCCGGGAAAACCTGGTACTTAAGCACGCTGAACAGGTAGGGCCAGAGGAGGCGATTTAAAGCATTCTCTGCGTCCAATGAGAGCACTACAGTCGGGATTTGCCGGTGTTGGGCGTACCAAATAGTGTTGTATGCTCTCCTCGTGTTATCTGCCGCTTGTCTTTTGGGGCTAAAACTGACCTAGTCGGGATGGATCATGTGGGGCAAGTATGCATTGAGGCGGTTGGCAAGCACTTTTGTAATGATTTTCAGATCAGTGTTGAGGAGTGAGATTGGCCGGTAGTGCCCCGGATCCATATGTTCTTTACCTGGTTTAGGTAGGAGGCATACATCGGCGGCGAGCATCTCTGAGGGGAGCGGTTGTCCCTGTAAAAAGCGAGTTGAACGTGTTGCATAGGTGTGGAATGAGCGTCGTTTGAAACGTCTTGTAGTAAAGTGTTGTGAAACCGTCCAGGCCTGGACTCTTCAACGTCTTGAGTGTTTTGAGGATGAGCGCGAATTCATTAGCGTCGATACGTGCCTCAAGTACCTCTTTAGCCCCGGCAGGTGGGGTTGGCATGCCCAGGGGTTCCAGAAATGCGGTAACGGATTCCCACTGTGCCTTGGTGTTTGTGTGTGTAGTAGTGCTTTGTGCCTTGGTTGTATAGGTGGGTGTAGTAGTGCAGAAATTCTTCAGCGATTTTTTCCGGATCATTGGTGATTTCCCCGGCTCGGGTCCGTAATTTCGATATCCTCTTGGCGTTTCTTTAGGCAGTGTGCGAGGAGGGAGTCAGCTTTGTTGCCTTACTCATAAAACCTTTGTTTTGTCCACATTAGGTTCCTGGCCACATCGGCTTTTCATAGCTGTGTGATTCGTTCCCGTGTGTCTGTGAGTTGGGCCAAAAGTTGGTCCGACGGGGCCTGGAGTGTTTCCAGCTTTGTCAGGTCCACTAATGCCGTGGTGAGTTGTTTCAGGTGTTGTCGTTTTTGTGACGAGGCCATCGCTATCAGTTTTCCTCGTATCACGGCTTTGTGGGCCGCTCACACTATCGCTGGGGCCACATCGTCCCCTGTGTTGATGTCAAAGTATGTTTTGATGTCTTCGTTCACGGTATGTATAGTGGCATTATCCCGGAGGATCCACGGGTTAAGACGCCAACGCCACTCGCATGACATTCAAGGAATGTGTATGGTCAGTGCTAGCTCGGCATGGTCGGACCACGCAATGTTGCCGATGGACGTTTGTACAATCCAGGGCTGGATGCTCTGCGAAGTGAGAAAACAGTCGATCCTAGAGTAGGACCTGTGCGTATGAGAATAGAAGGTGTAGTTCTTTGACGACGGGTGTTGTGCCCTCCAGACGTCTATAAGGGCTGTATCCTTGAGGAAATTAGCCTAAAGTTTGTTGTTTCTAGTCGTGGTCGGTATTTAATCCGAATATGCCTTCCGGTCTGTGGTTGGGCAGTGTGTTGCGTTAAAAATCGCCTCCGATGATGATGTGCTTGGTTGCTAGGCTCGCAATATGGGATCGGAAGGATTCCCAAAACCCAGAGTCCGGGGCGTATATTGAGCAAACGGTCAGTGGAACGGCTCCCACTTGGCCCATGAGGAAGAGAAAAATCGCCCATCGGGGTCCTTTATGGCCGTATGTCGTCTAGGGGGCATGAGTTGCGTAGGAGAATGGCGACTCCTTTTGTTTTTGGAGTTGGGGAGTTGGCCAGAAAATAGCGTCTATTGGCTAGCGGAAAGTGTTTGCTGTTTGTGAAGTGAGTTTCTTGGAGTAATATAATGTTGGAGCCGGTGCGGTTGGCCCATCTCAATATCCCATGTTGCTTACCAGGCGTGTTCAAGTCTTTGACATTTAGGGATGTCAGGCGTAGTTGGAGGGTCGGCAGCGCCAAAGTTGTGTTGCTAGTCATGGGTAAAGAGTCGGAGGGTGGTGGCTTTTCCCTGTGTTACGACACCTTGGGGGAAGTGTATCTGGAGTCTGTTGGCTATGGGCACGTGCCCGCCGAGTGGGAATGCGTTGGGCACAGGAAGGATGGATATCCGCTGGTCATAGCTCGGCCGGAGCGGGTGCGACAGCCCCCGGTGGCGGGACCCAGGGGTGGGGTAGGGATGAACTGGGCTTATCAATCTGGCCAGTTGGGTGGGGGACACCTTCCTCTGTTAGGGGCTCCGTGTAGTGGTCCCGCAGGAGGTGAGTGTGTCACTGGAGGTGTGTACAAGTCGTGGCGTGGCCTGCTCGAGGCCGCCCAATGACGATCTATAATGGCTGAGCTGTGGGTGGTGGTGGGGGGCCCCGTGTTAGACGTTCCAGGGCCTGCGAATCCCCCAGGGTAGGGTCCTGTGCTCGGTTAGATGCGGATGGAGCGGCACAGAGCGTTCTGTCCATCTGTGCTTATTTAGTACTGGAACCTCAGTGTAACTGTAACTTTAGCAACAGCTATATCTAAACTTTGCTGTAACTGTGCGGTCTTGTTAGAACTGTTGTGTAAGGGTCGGGGAAGTGCCGGGGGTCCAGGTGGGTGTGGCCGTGTCTCTGCCTCCTTGAGTCATGGTCTATTCTGTGTGGTGTATGCTCACCTCTATGGGCCGTTAAGGACGTGCTCCTGAGTGGTGTATGTAGTCCATTTCTAGTGGGAAGTGTTTACCTGTCTAATGTACGCCTTTTTTGGATAATCTGTATGTCGGTGTGAGATGCTGTTAAGGTCTTGCCTGTGCCAGGGGTGGGAGGGTCGTTAGTATGTTTGCGTGTCATACAGCGAGGTATGATTGACTGCGGTTGTTGGAGGGCCTGCACCTAAGTGGAATCCAGGAGTGTGTTAGGGAGCTGTGGGGGTTGTGTATTAATGGAGGAGCCTGTCTGGTGGAGCCCTGCTAGCCCCGGGCGAGGGTTCCCCAGGGTGGGATTGGTCTTGTGAAGTGGCCCATGGCAGGTGAGCGCTAAGCCCCCCCGGGGGGGGTCCTCTGCGCGGTGGGACCTCAGTTTCCATGCCCCGTGTGGTCGACCAGCGGCACCTCACTGCCCGGGTGTTATGTGAGGCCTGGGGGTGCCCTCGGTGGGGTAAATCAGTGAGGGTACCGTGTCCCGTGGTGGTCCTGCAATCCCCCTGATGGAAGGTGGGCAGGCAGTTAGGGCGTGGGGTCAGCCGGCTCTGTCCCCGTAGGGTGTTTGAGGGTCCTTAGTTGCAGGTTTAAAAAAAAATAAAAAAAAAATAAAAACACAGCCCTTAGTGATAGTCTCCCTGAAGCCCCTCCGTCCGAGTGCTGGTTAGGCCGGGGCTACCAGGTTTGGGGTCGTCTTGGCGTGTCGTCCCAGGGTAGTGGGGCAGAAAAATAAGGTCATCAAGCCAGTGCCCGTGGGCTAGGGATTCTCGTCGTGAGTGGGCCCAGTCTAATGGGAGCCTCCGTCCTGTATGTCGCCCTGTGCTCTCCCGTCGCCCTCCCTCCTCCCCCCCTCACCCCCTACAAGTGTCTTGATACAAGTCCATTCCCCGCGGTCCGTTAACTCCCCTCTTGTCCCCCCAATTCCCTTCTCCCCCCGGTGAGTGTCTTTGTCCCTGAGGTGCAGCCACCGGGTGCCCCGTGCGCCATGCAGGTGCTCTGCTGCCGGGGGGGACTGGGCTGGCTATGCCTGCTGATCGTGGGGCTCGATGCGTGCAGTGTCGAGCTGTGGCCCCAAACCCAGTACCTGTGTAGGGCCCCCCGGACCCGAGCTAGGAGTAGTCCGTTGTACTGGCAGAGTCCATTGTCGTCTTCCGGTGGGGGCATCCCGGTGGCTCTCCTTCAGGCTTGCGGTGACCTTAGCAGTACCGCCAAGGAGGTCAAGGCAGTGAGGCACTGTGCTGCAGATCCGTTGCGGCCGTTCTAGTTGTGAGGTGTGCAGGTGTCGTGAGGGTCGTGCATGGAGGTCGTGGTCGGTATCTCTTTACGGGAGTGTGGCGTCAGATGGCCGGTATCCTGCGCACTGTTGTCGGTGCGCTTCGCTGCAGGTTGGAGGACTGTTGGCAGGATCACACAGCGTGGAGGTGCCTGCAGTGGCGCGGAGCGTTTCAGGTAACGGAGTGAGGCCTAGTTGCTCGAGGACGGCTGGGATCTCTTCCGGCCTCGCTAAGGTGTAGAATTTGTTTTCCTTGCATATTATAATTTTGAAGGGATGGCCCCAGGCATAACGGAGGCCATGCTGGGTTAGGTGCAGAGTCAGTGGACGGAGCTCCCGCTGTCTCGAGGGTAGCTGGCGCCAAATCTTGATACAATTGGATCGGTACTCCTTCCACGGGGGTCTCTCTGGTGGCCCGCGTGAGGTATTCCTTAATATGAAAGAAGTGCATCCGTACGATTACATTGCGGGGGGTGGTGGAGGTCGTGCTGGGAGCTCTCAGTGCTCTATGCGCTCGGTCCATGAGGAGGTCCGCCATTGTAGCCTCCGGCAGGAGGTGAGTAAACACGTTTTGCAGTGTGTCCATAAGGAGCTCGGCGGTGACCGATTCTGGGACCCCACGCACCCTAATGTTGTTGCAGCGTGTCCTATTGTTTAAGTCTTCATTCGCATCCTCTAGGACGCGCAGTTGATCTCGGAGGTATCTCAGAGCTCCCTCGTGTGTGTGCACGCTTTCTTGTACCTCCGCCATATTGGCTTCAGTGGCTTGCGCGCAGGCTGTGATGTCCGCCATATTTTTCCAAAATAGGGTTGAGCAGCTTGTCCAGCTCCTCCGCCACTGAATTACGAAAGCCTCCGCTCTGTACGTTGGCGTTTGGCTGCTCATTTCGGAGTCCGCGCCAGGGAGGGAGAGTTCCGGCGCTGGTGTCTGGGCCCTCTCCTGTGTGCGTCTGAAGATCGGTGCCACAGACGAGTTTCGGGTCTTTTTGGCCCCACCCATGTAGTGGGCGAGTGCGGTTGGAGTTTTAGGGGAGTAAAGGGGGCTCAGGTGCTGAAGACGGCTGAGGATTTGGGCTAGCCCTCGGCAGAGCTCAAGAATTAAGCTACCATTTTCTTGCGCGGTCAGGCTCCGCCCCAAGCATACAATTTCTTTAAGCTACTCTTATTTGTTTCCAACCAATACAGGCAAACTGGACTTCATGCTGGCATGGGAGAGTGATCTAGGCTTTCAGTGGGAACTGGAAGAATGGTTTTGGATATCTACATCCCTTAAACGTAGAACAGTGCTCGGGCCATATGAAGAACCATTACAAGATCTTGTACCATTGGTAACTGGCCCCTTCAAAGTTACACAAAATGAACAAAGATTTTTCAGATAGCTGCTGAAGGCCATGACCCCTGCGACCGTGCGCCGCCTAGATACCGCTCCCGTGTTCCCCCTGTAATAGGGGGAGCCCCAAGAGGTTGGCCTACTGCCCACCTAGTGGACCCATGCAGCGGGCGGCAGAGTTCCTATCAGACACAGCGAAGGAGCCGGAATATGTTGTCATACGCCAGCTCTGCGCCTGATCTGCCTCTTTGACAGGCACAGTCAATCCTATTGTGAAGCATTGTGATTAGCTCAGACCACCACTTCTGATGAGGTTAGCAGAGAACACACAGGCAGGTCAGAAGTAGCAGACTTGAATACAAGTAAGATTTTACTATATTTGGGGAGGCAAAAGGGAGTCAGGGGGCTAGGTGGTGGTTTTAATACTATAGGGTCAGGAATACATGTTTGTGTTCCTGACCCTATAGTGTTCCTTTAAGTTTTAAAAAAGCATTAACAGATTTTCTAATGGTAATCACCACAAGGCAATGATCACTTAACATTATGTTAAAGAAAGAAGGAACACAAACCTTTTGATTCTACAGAAGTGGAATCAATGCGCCATCCAAATTCATTTTGCTGTGCCAGGTTGCTGGAAAGCAGTGTCCTTACAATGTTGGAGCCACTAGGGATGGGTGACTGATTAGCAAACACAAGATCAGTCTCTGCAATAACCGACCCATTCCTGCAATGCAAAGGAGTAAGAAACATTACCAGCTGTCAAAATAAAAATAAAAATAGAATTTCTATAAAAAATTAGTGTACCTTAAAATTGGCTTTAAATTATAAAGCATGTATCAGAGAAAATGAAGTGCTTACATTGCCACCTAGGGACACCCCCAGTTGCCACTCCAGGTGTTTCCTGGGACAGTGCTGCACACTGTGCAGCACTGCCGTTCGGCATCTCCACACTCTGCATGGAGATACTGAACTTTTCTCATAGAGATGTATTGATTCAATGCATTGATTATATTTTCTCTATGGGAAAACATTGGATTGGCTGAAATAAAATTCTGATGAAATCAACAAGGAGGCAGATTGGAGGCAGGGCCAGCCCCAGCAGACCCGCACGGCGCTAGAAACAAGATGCGTTTTATTACCTTTTATGGGCAGCAAGCCGCCTAAGTGGTGGTTTTAACATGATAGGGTTAGGAATACATGTTTGTGTTCCTGACCCTATAGCAGTGTTCCCCAACCCAATCCTTATGGACCACCAACAGTCCAGTATTTATGCATTTCTCCGTTTTATTCCAGTGGAGATACTGACAAAACCTGGACTGTTGGTGGGCCATGAGGACTGGATTGGGAACACTGCCCTAAAGTGTTCCTTTAAGTTATGGTAGCAACACTAAAGTGTTTCTAAAAAAAAAAAAAAAATTCTGCTAGTCCTAAAATCTTTCTAAATCTCTGTACAAATGTCTATTTAACCTTTGAAATAAGATTTTATAGTATATACTCTGCAAGCAGGATTAGATCATCTTGAAGTAACAGCGGTGAAGCATAGTTATCACCTACCTCCACAGCAGAACACTTTATGATGCAAACTGACAGTCTTTGCTAAATATTGCAGTAAAAATGTAGTTTTTTTTTTTTTTTTTTTTTACTTTTAGCATACACACAAAACAAAAAGTTTTTGTTTTCAAAACAACTAGTTCATCAACCTGATTTACTACGCCTGTACAAACGTATGCCTTTGCCACAATCCTATATACCAAACTGTTTAACACTTAGAATTTTAATAGATGGATTTGATTGGTCGGACTTATTTTGTGGCATTATAGCAGTTTGATTGTTCAAATTAGCCCACAGAATGCCCACCAAGAAAACAATTCAAGGTATTTCATATGGTATATATTGTGCTTTAACAGCAGCGTTGGAAGAGCACGAAGACTAGAACCATAGAGAAAGGATCCAGGCCAGCTCTTCCAAAAGGTAGGGAGACGGTTTGTATTCCTTACACTATAGAATCCCTTTAAGAATAAAGTTGCACTGCATACACTGTTTAGCTTTCTGGTGCGTGTAGGTCTTACTGCACAAGCAAACTGATAACCCATTACACACCATCTGTGGAAAACCAGGAGAACAACAATTTGTTCAGCACGGTAGCTAAAATTCGAACGCGGTCAGCGGTGTGTACAGCCAAATCTATGGAACTGTTTGCAGCTACCCAATTTCACGAACACAGCTGACCCCCTACGTTCTACTCTACTTCAACACTGCGGCTGGAGACTAAGTCCCGTTCGAAGATTCGAACGCTCATTCGAATGGGACTTAGTCATTTTCTCAGTGTAAAATAGACCGACCGCACAGCCCAAATCCACGGAACTGTTTTGGACATGAAAATGTGCTTGCGGTCGGTCAAAAAAGTGACTTGTATGTATCTCCTGAACGGATTCGAATGATTTTTGGGTATGTTTGTATTTGGAATGTGCGGATTAATAATATGTGACTTAATATTGGATGTATGGTTTTAGAGTTATGAAAGTTGGGTAAAAAGAGTGTTTTAAAATGTATAGATAATTGGGTTACCTCTCCGGCTAAGAGGAGGAGATGTGTGGGATGTAACCATTGTGTGATTGGGTATTGTGTAATTCTCTGTGGGTGTCTCCCTTGCAGGGGAGAATTGCATAAAAGCAGAGTATGTATCATTAAAAGTCAGTTCTACTTCACCCTCAGTTTGGAGTCTCTTATTGGGGGGAATCTGCTACAAGGGATTGCTATGCTCTGCATCCTCCCTTGCTATAATCACTAAGCTCTTGTAAGTGCTTGTTCCGGTTTTTGCTCTCTAAAGGAGTCTACGGTGGTTGTGGTGTCTGCTGCAGTGCTTGGAGTCCTCAGGAAGCGGTAGGAGCATCCTTCAATGGAGGTACCCAGTCGGGGTGCCAGGTGATCCGTTACAATACGCTTTTATGAAGAAGTGGGTTTTTAAGATTTTTTGAAGGAGTGGAGACTGGGTGAGCATCTAACGGAGGAGGGAGGCGAGTTCCACAGGAAGTGAATTGGGTAAATATTATAGTTTGTATTATTATCCAGGGTAGTAAGATCTGTTAATAAGGAAAAATGCAGTTAAATAAAATGGTAACATCATAAAGATTAGCATGGGTACATTTGACTTGCGATTTATTTTGCATAGGATACCACAATAATAAGAGTATTTTCACTTACAAAAAGTTTTTGATGGTCGATTGAAGAAATTCGCTTTGATACTTTGTGGAAAAGATCTTGTTTAACTGCAAAAAGGATACAGAAAGCCTTGTTAGAATGTTCTTTAAAATGTTATCATTCGTCATAACATAATGAGCTAACAGTAAACCGTTAACCGGCCCTTATGTTACTTCAAGAAAAGTAATGAGAATTTTATTGACACATTTTAAAATCAGTTACATTTGACTTCAAAAACCTCCCCTCACCAAGCAATTCCTAATTTTACAAAATTTTACTAAACAAATAAGTTAGAAATGACTTGTCTTTGAAAAAAATCATATCATATATCAATATAGTTTCCAGCTTTCTGATCCTTTTAAGAATAGTTAAGAGACAGTTTGTATATTGAGGGCTCGTCACGGAGGCCGATCCAATACACAGAATATTAAGATTACAGGTGAAGAAATCCTATGGGGATTCTTCTTAATCTGAGATGTGGTCCTTTTCAGGTGACGATGGAGTTTGCTTCTCCAATGAAAATACATATTGTGATATATAAAAACCCTGCAAAAATATTAAAATATTTCATAACCTGACACTGTCATATCCGAGACCATTATGGGTGGGGAGAAGGAATATATTGAAAGGATGAAGGCTTAATAAATTAATTGACCACTTCTGTAATTCTATAATCAGATAAGTATACTAATCAAGTAAAAATGATAAATATTTTACTTGTTGAGATTTTATTGTAAAAATACAAATTTTATTGATTTTTTTATTGGTATGGTGTTAAAAATATCCTATTAATGTTCTTTTAATGGAGAGTGTAGTAACTGCTAGCTTTCATGACTCTAAGATCCCATCATCAGATAGAACGAATAAAGCTGAAATCATGAACACACACTCAAGGCATGTAGCTCGCCAAAGGGCAATATTTCCTGGAGTGTCAAACACTTACTAAGCGATAGGATCTTTATCTACTTCGATCAAAGTACCAAAAGTAGTGTTATCTAACTGCTGGGTCACATGTTTGATCTACCAAGAAGGTATTATACAAATGGCTTCTTTGTGTCATAACATGTCAAAATGTTTCCCTTTCAAGTTCATTTCACCTATTGCACTACTCAAAACATTTGTACATCCAGTTGGCTGACATTCAGCCAAATTTCTACTCAAGTTTTTCCAATTCAGGTATTTACAAACCGCCAAATTGCAGACAATTCTACGATACAGTACATTCACCTGTGGTATAAAATCTAAAGCATTGTTAGGTTTAGAGCCACTATTAAGCTTCATGCTCTACAAGTGTGTTCTCATACATTGTACAGCTTCAGGGCACGTGACATATCAGACCCTCTTACTAGTATAGAATTGGTTTAAGGCTGGTGTCATATTTAGTGTGTTCAGCAGAGGTCTCCCTTAATTCACCAAGTATAAGCCAATCGTGCTTCTGTATGTAGTCTGTATTATTAGTAGGTCATGATCAGTTGTATTGTAAGCTTTGTATCGGACTGTAGTATGGTTTTAGCAGGGCTTTCTACACCCAGTCTGTTATATTCTTTATGTAAATTACTTGTCAGATATCCCCATTTTAGAATTATAAAGCATTGCAGAAAATGTTTCTTCTATGCAAAGGCCCATGCATGGGGTCTCCAACAAACCCCAACAGTATCCCATCCCAGGGTTCTCCCCCTACCAGGGGTCTTAGCGCAGGACAGGGACTTGGCTCCCTTTGTCCCCCGTTCCCACCACCCAAATCCATGGTCTCCTGCTCCAGATGTCAGAGGGGTCTTCATCCCAGAAGCCTCTGTACCTGGGAGTCAAAGTGTGGGAAAAAGGCTTCCGCCTCTGTCTCCCAGGCACAGAAAGCCCGCCAAACTAGCCCGTGCCCCAAGGGTTGCCCACACTAACCTCAGGGACCACCACAACGGTACATGGGTCAAACAGCATCCGTTCGCAGAGTCCGTGTGAAACCAGGCAAGGGAAGCATCTTTCAGGACCTCGGAAGGTACTCATTCGGGAACCAATTCACGAATGCTCCCCCCTGGATGGTGTTAGTCTATATGAAAGGGCTGCTATCCAAGGGAGGTCAAGCGCCAAGGTTTCCCTTGCCTTTTTGGCACTATTTTAGGGTGCCCAAATCCTAATGAGCGTTCTAAATGGACCATTGGGGTGGTCGCCGTTCGGGAGGTTAATAGATCACTTAGTGAAAGCACTCCCGAATGGGGAGCGGACATAATATGCCAACACATAGGGAAAAAAAACATAATAAGGAGAGGGGAAATGTTACAACATAAACAGATTACCCTTGAACATTTTTGCTCTGGTCGCAATTTGTTAATGAACGAGCCTACATAAAGTCCCATACAATCTGTGCAAAGCTGATCACTGAAAGGGGCACTACAAACAAGTAAAGTGCTTCAGCTTGCTGTGTGAAAAAATATAGTATTTTCATTTTTTCAAAACATGTAGCTTTTAAATAAAAATTTGCACTTTAACATTGTTACAGTACCTGGCTTTAAGACAATAGGTCCTGTTACATATCCTGTTTTGTTTAGATCAGTGAAGCTAAACTTAAGAGGCAGCAACTGCCCAGAGCACCAGCATTGCAAAGACTTCTCATTAAGCTGCATTGGGAGGTCTGATTTGATAGTCACATCAAGTCTAGGTGGAGTTAGAAGGGGAGGGATTTCAAAGGCTGCAGATAACTTAACTGCAGGTTTTGTAAGTTTTTTTTTTTTTTAGAAAAATCCCAATTAGGAAAAAAATAAACACTTTTGTTATTGATTTTCTCACCCCTCCTTTGTGGAATGTTTATTCCTCATTCTCGGGTCCTCTATTAGAGGCCTGGGAGTTTGAGGGTTCTGCGCAGTAACTTAGCTGTTCTTAGACCTGCACTCAGGCCTCTTTGCATAGTCTGCACCTTGGGTTTTGCCCGTGTGGTAGACTCCAGCTTCTTCTGATCTGGTGCAGAGTGCCTGTTCCTGTGCTCGGTGCGGTCTTTAAACCTCGCCTTTTCCAACCACTGTTAGGATTTTGTCATGTGAGCCACATACACGGCCAGTGGTACACCCCATGTAGAGAGTTTTGTCTTGCCAAGAAACCGCTTAGTTTTTCTGCATCCTCTGTTGTCTCAAGCATTCCCTTAGCAGATCTTTGGGAGCCATCTTCGTGATGTACTTGTGGATGCACGGGGTTTCATCCAGGACTGTGGCCTTGACACGCATCAGGCCCCGTCCTTCTGGCTGGTGTACAATCTGGGTGCTGGAATACGGGTTGAATCCTCCATTTATAGGGAATAGTTTCTGGGTCCTAACATCCAGGGTGACCAGGTTATTATTCCAGCTGGATACCTGATGCATTGGCTTCAAAAGTTGTTTTCCACCTATCCATTGAGCTCTTGATTAAGGCTCCTATTGTCTTATTGACCTTGTAGAGAGGTATGTATGTATGTATGTATGTATGTATGTATGTATGTATGTATGTCATAGGCTTTCTTGTAGTCAATCCCTTGTGACTGCCAGTAGTTTGTGTTTTGATCTTCTGGTGTTTCCAATCCCCTTCTGAGTATTGCTCATATATTGACTCATATGCCCTTGGATCTTGGAGGCTATGATGCCTGACAGGAGTTTCCATGTTGTGGGGAGGCAGGTTATTGGTTAGTAGTTGGATTGTGTTCCCTTGTGAGGGTCCTTCATGACCAGTATTGTCCTGCCTTTTGTTAGCCAGTCGGGGTGGGAGCCTGTTGCTAGTAGCTGGTTCATTTGTGCTGTTAGGCGTTCATGCAGCGCTGTTAACTTCTTTATCCAGTAGTTGTGGATCATGTCAGGTCCTGGGGCTGATCAGCTCTTCATGTGTGCCGCTCACTGTATGATATCTTCGACTGTGATGGTGACTGGTACCTGTTCTGGAAGAATGCAGTTGTCTGTTTTCATGTCTAGTAGCCACTGGGCCTCTTATGAGATGCTTCTTTCTCCCAGATACTCTTCCAGTACTGGGTGGGTCTTGGGAGGAGATGTGGTGGTTACCCTGTAGCTGTGCATACACTTTGGATGGTTCTTTGGTAAAGAGAACATTGCTTCTTTTCGCTTCTGTTATCTGCTCAGTCTGGTTGCCAGTGCAGTCAGTCTTTGCTTCTCTGTTTTCAGCACCTCTGGTATGGTCATATACTTGTATTTCCGCAACAGCCAGGATCTATCTTTGATCTTTCCTCCTCTGAAGTTGCTCCAGCTTACTAACTCTTCCAGTTGTAGTCTCCGTTGTGGGCATTGCTTCTCTTTGAGCCTGATCTTGTAGTCAATGAGCTGGAGGACCCCTATTGCTGTAGCATATATAAGCCTGATGGTCTCTGATGGTGTAGGTTGGGATTGTGGACAATGCGTCATTAACTGCATGCTGTCTGGCAGTTTTCCAATTCTCTGCAGGTAAGTATGTGGGTACTTAGTCCTCCTCATAGGGCATGGTTGAGGTTTTCTTCTGTAGTCCTTTTAATTTTAGTTGTTACACTAAATTCCTCTTGAAGAGGTTTAAACGTTGTGTAACCAGCTGTTTTGGTGTCAGGGTAGATGGTGGTCTCTTATTCATCCATCGCTCCCACATACGTTTCATGTAGCACTTCTCATTGGGTCGGCTATTGTAGTAGCATTCAAGCAGGTCTAGGTTCTCCGGAATGATTTGTTTCAGTAGCCTACTTGTCAGATTGCCTTGGTTCCCTGGCATCGGATGCAGACCTTGTGAATCTGGGCATTGTATGAGCCGGCATGACTCTTGGTTCGTGTTGCTCATGTTATTGAGGTGGGCAGGGTTTATATTGTTTGGTGTCGGACCAGGATTCGAACCTGTGGTTCCCAGTCAGTGACATAATCATCAATATTATTATATTTATATAGTGCTAACAAATTACATAGCGCTTTACAATGGGTGGACTAACAAACACGTTATTGTAACCAGACAAGTTTGACGCACAGAAACAGAGGGGTTGAGGGCCCCCCATCAATAAGCCTACGTGCTAGAGGGAGTGGGGTAAAGTGATACAAAAAAAGGTAAGGGAAGTAAGATTGGTAGAATGATATTCATTGAAGATTTAGTGAGGATTTTTTTGGAGCCATTAACAGTCTAATTGATATGCTTTTGTGCAAAAAGTGAGTTTTTAAATTTTTGTTTTTTGAAGAAGGAGTGGAGACCTGTATTCCTAACAGTTTAGTGTCCCTGCCCTTACTAAAATGCACAAATTGACTCAATGACCTATGTCCTATGGGAAGTTCCCTTTAGTGGCGGTCAGTATAACAGTCAATAGACCTGCAATGTACAATGAACATTGCAATGTCAAAAAATAAATAAAAAAAATAAAAATAAAAAACCTACATAAACAAAGGCACACACAAGCAGAAGAATAATTTTGTAGTAATGAAGGTGTTTGATTATATAGTATTCACTATTATCTCTAAATTGTGTTTTAGGTTTGATGTGTAACCAGGCTATATTGCATTGTGCTTGAAATGTTGGACTTTTGGTACAGAAATAATTTTGGAGTTTTTAAATATATCATCTATAGTCAAGTTGAAGTGCTACCAGTGGGACGGTACTAGGAGAGACTATAAATGTAAAATTTTAAGCAGGTTGGCTAGACACACTCCAAGTCTAAATTTTCCTTTTTTCAACTTTGACAGCTTTTTTTTTAAATTTTTTTTTTTTTTTTAAAGCCTACACAAATAACCGTGTATAACTGTACAGTACAGTAAATCAAAAATCAATAGAAATTGTTCTCTTCAAGTGATGTATATTGCATATTCCATTAATTTACCATGTGGCTATTTTGGGAAGTATCAAAACACGTTTCTTTTTTTCCCCTGATTTTAAATTGTCCAAAAATAAATAAAATTAAAATTCTAATTTTATATTCCCTTTCTTTCACTTGTTCACACCTAAGGTAACCTCTTTTTTCTTTCCTCCCCCCGCCCCCCTGTACTGGTAAAACCACATGCCCCAGAAACAAACACACATACACAACACGGTCACTCTGTCTGATGAAAATACACTGAAAGTAGGGGCTTTATCAAAGTGTCTCCATTTTGCATTTGCTTTAGCAGCATTCAATGCAAGCAAGAGCCGTGTTCATCCAGTAACATTTTCAGTTCTGCAGGAATACATAGCACATCAATATACGGACTGATTACTTGCATACTCACCACTAGTTGTACTTCTTTCTCCAGTATTGTATACTCTTTGGATTGCTTCTCCTGTAGCTGCGAACTGTACGCAATCCCAGTGAGGCGAAAGTTTAGAGGCACGATTGGTGAATAGGCAGTAGTAGTAGGAGGCACAAGAGTTTGTCTTCGGTCAGCTAGAGGGTCGTCAGATTCTGATACAAAATGGTTTCCCATAGAAGAAGGAATTGAGAGATCTTCATCCTTTATAGCACCTTCGGTCACTAGCATGGCAGGAATGACAGGCACTGGAGAATAGGAGGTGAGAATGTCCATCTTTGTACTGTTACGGGTGCTAGATGTAGACACTGTGGCTATGGCACCCTTAGAAGTAGTTTTATGGATTGGTCCCATCTCAGCAGCTTTAGTCTTCAAATATATTCTGTCCGCACTTGTTGAATACATCGTTGGCATTAACCTTGATGTAGTCCCTCTGAGGGTAGTTGTTGTATGGACGTTTGGAGAAGGGAGATGGCCTTTAGTGTGTTTTATGGTTGAAGAGGCAGTGTGATGGGTTTGAGTGGACACTGAATGCTGTAATTTTGTGACCATTCCAAGAAAAGCTGCAGATGATCCTGAGGCCTGGAACTTTGTAGTCTTGATGCTTTGTGTCACTGCACTTCGCGTTGATGCAGTTGAAGCCACTTCTTGTGGACAAGGAGTTTTAGGGCGCTTTGGTCTACGGAAACCTATGGATATATTGACAAGATCTGTACCATTTAGCCAGCTTAAATCTACTTCCTCAGTTGTATTGGTGAAGGTAGTCTCAGAGGAAGTTACAGACACTACTTCACTGCTTGCGTTATAGATTGGTGTGGTAGCACTGAAGGTCAGAGACTTCCATTTTGAAGTTACAGAAATTCCAGTAATTTCTGTAACCGTTGAAACATCCGTAGGCGCCGTTCCATAATGATCAACTGTGTGTGTCACATTCTTACTTGGGGAAGTCCAAGGATGGGAATGCAAGGTGTTTGGATCTGTAACAGTTTTGAAAAACTTATGCTTGTCCTGTACAAGAGTTATGGCACTTTGCGTCACTTCAGAAATTGGAGAAGAAAATTTTGAAGTGGTTGAGGAACTGTGAAGACCTCGAGTCATATCCCTAAGTGCAGTATGTCCAGATGAGGGCATAAATGTGGGAGAGAGAGGAACTGTGGCACCATCCTGTTTGGTAAAAAGCCAAGGGTAATGGTTTGCAGCAAGAGATTGAACACTAGGTAGCTTTGAGGACGTTAACGTTTGTTCCGATGAATGTGTAGTTGAATGGTTTGAGATAACTCGGCCATGCATGGAAACATCAGTGCTACCAACAGTTTTCCCAAAACCTGATAAATTTACTGTAGTTACAGGTAAACTAGAGTGGTCAAGCAACGGCTTTGTGATGGTTTGTTTTGTATAGCTTAAAATTTCTCTTGATCTAACCTTTTTTCTTGAAGGCTTCTTAAAACTAACCCCCCAGACAGCTTCACTATATGGAGAACTATGCACCGTAAAATCTGATGACGTAGGGACAATTGTGTTATTCACAGTGAATGTGCTTTCATTCAGTCTTTGAGTTTCTGGTTTGCTCTTTTGTAATGTACTGAAATTGTTGTGATCTATTGTAGCTGTGTCTGGAGTAGAAGGTAAACCAAGACTTCTGGGAAGAAATAATGCAGTGAATCTGGACACCTCAGGGGTTGTAGTAGATGAACTATATAGTTGTAGAGGAGGAGATTTGGGTTTTGTGGAATGCCAAGTTAATGCAGCAGGAGTAGTACTCTGAGAGTCCACAAGGCCAAGCACAATGAATGAGCTTTCATTCAGTCTTTGAGTTTCTGGTTTGTGCTTTTGTAGTGTATTGAAATTGTTGTGATCTGATGTAGATGTGTCTGGAGTAGAAGGTAAACCAAGACTTCTGGGAAGAAATGATGCAGTGAGTCTGGACACCTCAGGGGTTGTAGTAGATGAACTATATAGTTGTAGAGGAGGAGATTTGGGTTTTGTAGAATGCCAAGTTAATGCAGCAGGAGTAGTACTCTGAGGGTCCACAAAGCCAAGCAATGACGATTTTGTTCTGGAAAGCAGTGTATCTTTAGTTGAAAACAAAGATTCTTGTTTTTTTTCACGTTTAATAGGTTCTGTGGTGCCTTTGAAGTTATCAAAAGGGAGACTGTTAGAAGTCTCCGTAACACTAGAGGTAGGATATTGTCCATTGAGCAGCATATTTAAAGATGTTTTGCTGGTTTTATTTTCAATATGCAATGTATGATTGTGCAACTCTTTTAATGGAGTAAAAGCCAAAGTCTTGAGCTCCATTGCATCAGTGCTACTTTTACCAAAACGTTGAATATGTGCTGAAGAAATTAGATTAGGGGGAATAGATCTGTTCAAAATGGATTTGTTTGGGTTGTTAGTCACAGGAAGTTTTTTTGCTGCATTATAAGGTGTTGAATGCAAAGATGATATTTTGGCCAATGTCTTGAAAGGGACATTCACACTTAAGCCATCACTTGACACAGACTGTGTTCCTGTCAAAGGAAAGGCAGTGACAGATTGTTCTAAAGGAATTGTGGTTTTCTTCTCCGTTGCCAAATTTTTTCCAAAAGTAAATGAAAATGACTGATAATTATCTGTGGTGGTTGGTGGTAATACAATTTTGCTTACTTTTGTTACTGGAATAGAAAAATTGTCCAAGGGTAAAGATCGAACCATTGCAACTCTGTTTTCCAAGATGGAATCTCTTTCGAGAAATGACCCAAGGCTCAATTTTGATTTTCCCTTCAAAACCAGAGTAGAGCCTGATTTTTGAACCCCAGATTTGACAGGAACATTTTGCTCAACACCAAATAATTGATTTATCATGTCTTCTACTGCAGAATTCCAGCCGTTTTTGGATGTGTGAGGCTCATGGGTAGTAAGCACATTATCTTGTAGTGCAACATGCCCAAGCTCTCTCTTCAAAAGTCTTCTGTTTCCAAATGGATTAGATCGTGCCACACTAGCAGAATGAAAAAGATTGTACAGATGTTTGGAAGATTTCAGTTTAAAGGGTTGCAAAGGTTGTTTTTTTCTGTATGAAGTCCAAACGGAAATCTGCATCCTTTCACCTTTAGGTGGAGTGTATGGAACAACCAAAGCTTTATGCAAAGACTCACCATGAGGCAATCTACGCAACTTTGGAAGAGTCTCTGCATAGATGCTACCATGACCCTTTTGAGAATGTGGAGTGGAAGAAAGTATTGTAGGTGCCATGTAGGCCAATGTCGATATCAAGAAGCAACAGATGATTAGTAGCAGATTCTGCCAGTGCAAAAATCTTAAGTTAACCGTGGTCACGTACGCACAATGCAAACTCCCAGAGGTTGTCCATTTGTCAGGTAGATTCTTTGCAGTTCTTGAAGACTTTCTCCACACTTCCATGAAGTCAACAGTTGGCTACAAAAATACACAATTGGAACATGATCATCAGTACCCACAAATTATCCATAGCATCTAATGAATCTATACAATAAGATTGTATCTTACGGTATGGCAAGTTTCCGCTTAATTCTACTAGGCCAACAATAGTAAAACATGCTTCCCAACATTGGAGTGGGTGGGCCAGAATGAGCACAGTGGGATATAAGTAGGCTGCCAACCCCATGTGGCAACCCAATTCAGGGAAATTAATGCAGGCACAATCCTGCTGTAGTGGTAATGGTACTTTGAGTGTTCCTTTAAATAATTCTTGGCAGGAATCTAGCATGATGCTATTTTATAAAAAGCATTTCTATGTATACACTGTGGTAAATAAATTGTAGCAAAGATAATGGTTTTCATTTAAATTAAAGGGGGAAAAAAAAGTCACCTTCCACACCATTAGCTTCCTGCAGCTACTATTAAGTGGCTCTTGATGAGAGTACATGCTTTCACAAAGATCAATACAGCAGCATGTTCTAACGACTCAACACAGGCCTCCCAGCTGTTCCATTTTAAGTGAGATAGGCCAGATTTCTGCAAAAAGCATTGATAGGGTTAAAAGTATAGTCTAAGCAGGTCTGTTTCTTAAAGTGGTTATGGTGCAACACATTTGAGTGTATATTGAGAATATTCTCACTTGTCTATTACATACTCATCGTTTTCGTTGTCTTATCACATTAACTTGTTACTATGCCGCTGTTAATTTTTCTCTGCATGCCATATAATAAAAAAGAAAGAAAAAAGAAAGAAAAAAAAAAAAAAAAGGAATTATAGATGTGGGAGGATTCTCCAACTCAGCTAGGCTATTCTGGACAAAAGCGTTTTAATTCATTTGTTTTTAACCATTACTATTACAGTGTCACACTCTACATCGCCTCACTCCTCCCTATTGCCTGACAACTCAGCTCTATCAGCCAGTGCTCAGAGTACTGTGGGACGTGGGGCATTTTAAAGGGACTCATGTAGACACCAGAACCACTACAGCTTAATTTAGTGAATCAGGGGCTATTAAAACGTATCCCCTGCAGGCACAGAATTGTAAAAAAAAGACAGAGTTTACAATGTTGCTTGAATCCACCTCTGGTGGCTGTCACTATGGGGAAGCATTGGATTGGCCGAGATCTTCAAGATTGATGATTTCAGCCAAGGAGATGTGGGGGAAGTTGTCACAGAGAGACCAGCATGGCAAGGGAAGTTTAGTTAGTAAATCTTACCTTTTTACTTTATTCGATGGGGACCCAAATACCTGAACAGTGAGTAGGACACTAGCATTAGATGTTTGTATTCTTAAAGCTATAGTGTTTCTTTAAGTCCATACACTATAGCAAAAAAAGTACTCTGCATGCCAAGATAAAGTGCCCCTTTTGTTGGAAGTGACATTCATGACACTAAATGCATAACTGTCATGCCCACACCCCACACCCATATCAGACCTGCCACACTTGGCAAATCTGTAATATTATAGTGTCAACATAAAGAGCAACAAGTGTAGTTGCAACAAGACAAGTTGGATGTACAGGAACAGAAGGGGTTAAGGGCCCATCTAAAAACAAGCTTATTTTCCAAGGGAGTGGAGTACAGTTACCCAAAAGGTAAAATGTATTTGATTATTAAAATTGCACACTTCACAAAATAAAAAATAGCAACATTTTAAATGTGTGAAAGAGGGTGTGCCTAGGGCTTTTCTGAACACCTTTATAGAAACACTCCAGGCAACAAAACAACTTAATATAAATTAAGTTGTTATGGTGCCAGGCGGCCTTCGGGCTCACTCTTTCAAAAGGTTAAACTATTTTCAAACAGTTTAACCTCAAACTTAGGCCAATCTCTGACTTCCCATTCACAAAACTGACCAGTCTCAGCCAATCAGCAGCACTCCACACTTCCTGAAACTAAAATGTCAAACCGGTGCCACCTGGAGGGGGGGATGGGGACAGAGATCGGTGCTGGAGGCAACTTTAGGGTTAAACCGTTAGAAAACTGTTTAACCCCTTGAGATAAAGAGTAAGCATAAGAGCCTCCTAACACCACAACAACTTAATTTATAATTAAGCTGTTATGGTGCCTAAAACTACCACTTTACATGACTTACTGATAATTTGTGGAACTAAGATATTATTTAGAACAATATTCTAAATATATTATTTACACAGCCCAATATCTAAAACACATTTACTGTGGTTTAATGACACATTACTGTATTATTACTGTGGAGCTCTGTTAAGCACACCAACAATACGGTGCTTTTAGAAGAGAGGGACTTTAGGATAAAATAGGAGGGATTTGGGCCATAAATATGGACTGCCATTTCTAAATGAGGGCACTTTGGAGGGATGGTGTGCGTTCTAATTTACACTCCAATAAATAACCCTGATAGGGATTAGAATATAACGGCTTTTACAGTAATTTGCACAATTATCCATTAAACTGTTAAGTTTTAGGATGAGGTATAATAATGAACATTTCTACAGATCATGGAGTGTCGGTGGTTTATATGAGAGGTTACATACCATGTATTTGCACAATTGCATAAACAAAGCATTAGGGACTATTTATTACTCACCATTAAAATTTACAAATCTCCAACTGGCAGAAATAAAACCCAAACAACGAAACATTCACTTCTTTAGACCCTTCCCCTAAACACCATTTACTGATAAGTAAGTCTGGGCTTTTAACATTGTGAGCCTTATCTCTTCTGACAGGAAGTAGAACATATAAATTATCATCAGGTCAAATCAATTAAGGCTGATAGATGGTTCAAAACCAGGCAAAGCTAGCCCCTAGCTGCAGTGTCACTGGGCTTTCTTTGAAATTATGCAATAGGCAGTCATGCATTTATTTTTGGACCTATAATACATAAATACATCTCCCAACATGTCAAATGGACAAAGAGCCACAATTTAATTTCAGGGGTATGAGTGGAAAGGTGGCCCAAGGGCGGAGCTGTCCTGAGAAATGTTAGGTGATTCACTGATAATTTATGGAACTAAAATATTATTTAGAAAACAGCAGCATACCTTATTTACACAGGCTGATTTCTAAACACATTTAGTGTAGATTAATGACACATTGCTGTGAGTGTTATTGCTGTGGAGCTCTGACACACCAACAATATATAAGAGGGACAAATGGGTTAAAAAAAAGAAGGAATTTGGGCTCAAAACAGGGACTGTTTCTCCTAAATAGGGACAGTTGGGTGGTATGTAAAAGAGAGGCTTTGAAGAGAAATCGAAAATTCTGTTATGTTGATCAGTATTGCTTCTAACAATTGCTTCTGGAGAGGAAACTCCTTGAAAGCTAGACTTTTAATATGTTTTGTTAGTCCTTTAATAAGAATCACTGCTTACTGCAATACTGTTCTTGTTTTGAGATGAAGTTTTTAAATATCAGCTATTTTAACCTTATATCCAGAATTTAGTGAATAACCTTGTGTGGGCGTTTTTAGAAAATTAAACACAATTAAAGCTTGTTTCTTTATATGCAGATTATTCACTGAACAAAAAATTGTGGTGAGTTGGAAACCAATTCAAAATAGTCGATGTGTAACTGTAGTAGACATGGAGACAGGGTCGTAATTATCCCAAGGCCACTTTCCTCAATGCAGCCAGCCCATCATATACTATGACGTGGCAGTATACCTGTGAGTAGCTGGGTTACTACCACCTAGGTCATCCCTTCCCTTAGTTCCCTTAGTTCTAGAGTGATCAGTTCCCTTAGTTCTTAGTTCTAGAGTGATTAAGCTCTCCTGCAGAATGTACCGCTGTCTCACCCAAGCACTAGCTGAGACTTAGTGAAGGGTGAAGATGAACTGTTTTAATGAGTCAAAGCACACAGATTTATACACAGACCCCCAGCATGGGGTCTTTATTCACTGCAACACAAGCCCGCCCAGACGCCTGTGTGTCTGGGAGATAATTGAGTCAGCTTTTAGTTAAACAAATTATCTCCCAGACAAAAAAAAACAGAATACACAAAAATCCCCAAAATACATACAATATAATAAAGCACCCCCACATGCCATACACCCCGGATAGGTCTCTCTGGAGTGCTCATTCTGTCCAAAAAGCGTCCAGATTGGACATGGATAGCCCGAATTAGATGGAAGTCAAAGGTTCAGCGGGAGGCGGCTAGCCTCCGATCCGGTGCAGAGTTCCAGAATGTTGGGTAGAGTTCCCCGGTCACCTAAAAACACAGCGCTTTCTGTAGGTACATGGAGCTCCCCCAAGTCTTTGGTGTCTTTTTTTTTTAAATCATAGTTTTTTATTATTTTGATAAAGCAATAGGGGAGTGGGATACAGAAACAGAAAAAAGGGGTGGGGGGTGGGGTGGGGCAATAGATCACATTCACAATTTAGGACCAATTAACATTCCATGCTAAAGTACATCGTTGTTTAGACCACCTATACATAATACGTCTACAGTGTTCGTAGCGAGGTCTCGCGTGGAGGGAACTGGGGGATTACTTTCCCTGTTCTTGTCTAAAACAGTGTTATAGGTCTTGTATTTGTGGCGGGGGGGAGGAGGGATAGGGAGGGATAACCAGGGGGTAAGAAAGTTTTCCGCTGTTCTATAACATCCTATATATAACATTAATCATGTGTCAACATATGTAGTGTCACCTAAACTGTCTGTGGGTGTGGTATGCCCCTTATGAAGTGATTAGGCACCTTTCTGTTCGAGTGTGTGATTGCACGCGTTTAAGGTTCGAAGTGGAGAGTACTACTACTGCTAGGGCATGTCGTGAGGTCTTCGTCGTGATTCTTATGTGGTGTGTAGATATCGGCCCATGT